TCTTCTGTTCCTCCATGACTAATGGTTCTAGAGAGTGTATCCTCCTGATGTAAATAGTCACTCCGTATGCCTGTCAATTGTTTGGCTGGAAGGCATGGGACTGAGTTCAATTCCAGACCTGAAGGATGACTAGGGGCCATAATCTTGGGGGTCTCACCAGGCTCAATCAGTCTCGTGAACCTAGTCTTTTTTTTTTTCCCAGTGATTTTGAGTTTTGTTCCACATTGTTCTCCCACTCTCTCCAGGATCCCTGCACTGATCCCTCTGACTCCTGTACTTCTATTGGCTAGTCCTGCATGGAGCTCAGTGATGCCTCAAGAGGTTAGCATCAGGGCACCAGGTGGTCTCTGATCTTCCCTATCCTCCTTCAGTAGCCTCAGCTGCAGGCTGACTTTCAGGTCCCTGAAATAAAGATCAAATTGCTTCCTGCAAGGTGGTGCATCACCTCACAGTGAGTCATGCAGAAACTAAGATGCAAAAAATAACGTATTGTGGGTGAGAGCCAGGACTACACTCATTAGACAAAGGAGTAACATGTGAAGTAAGGAAAAGGCCAAAATGAACCCTGTGGTGTTGGACTGGAACCAGATTTCTGCTATGACCTTGTAGCTTTCAGGTGTACATATAGCCTTTTGTGTATGTATCCTCACACAGATACACCTCCTAGCTCCTTCCATGCAGAAAGGAGCTCTGGTGGCACAGTGCCTAAGGCATCTGACTGATAATCAGAAGGTTGGTGGTTAAACCCACCAACCACTCCACAGAAACAAGACTGGGCAATCTACTTCCATAAAGATTGACCACCTCAGAAACCCAACGGGGGTTGCTATGAGTTGGAATCGGCTAGATGGCAGTGGATTTTGTTTTTTGGTTTCCATGTGGAGCACCCAACAGCAATAAGGATATCCTGATGCCTGGATCTCTTGTTTCTAAATATCATCCCCTAGTAAAAGGAACCAGGGTTTCTTGGTGACAAGAATGTTTCCAGTGCTTGAGCAGGAAAAGGGCACAATAAGCCTTTAACACTGTTACAAAGAAGGGAAAACCTTAAAAAAATACGGGTACCTACTGAAGAGAGGTCTTAGTAACCAAATCTGAGACAATGTGAGCAACTTAAGGGGAAAAAAGGTAGCATGGATCATCCTATACAGGCAAAGGGAGCTCTGGAGGTGCCTGGTTCAAGCATCTGGCTGCCAAACAAAAAAAGGTCAGTAGTTGAAATCCACCAGGTGCTCTGTGGAGAAAGATGAAACAGTCTACTTCCATAGAGAGTTATATCCTTGAAGATCCTGTGGGGCAGTTCTAGTCTCTTCTATAGGGTCACTAGGAGTTGGAATCGACTCTGACAGTGGTTTTTGGGTATACAGGCAAGTTCTTGGGTTACGAGCATCTGATTCATGTACAACCTGCAGTTACAAAACAATCCCCATAAATTGTACTACAAATTAAGAGTCCCTCTTGCAGGAGCTGAAGCCCTGCATCCCTTGCCTGCTGATGACAAAGTATCTGCCCAACACTCACGTTCACTGCTTGGATCTGGGAGTAGGCCGGTGACTGCACATCACATGGATCTTGAAGCAGGCTGGCACCCCCATGACATCACATGGATCTTGGAGCAGGCTGGTGCCCCCATGACGTCATGTGGATCCGGTAGCAGGCCAGGGCCTCCATGACGTCATGTGGATCCGGTAGCAGGCCAGCGCCCCCATGACGTCATGTGGATCTGGGAGTAAGCCAGCACCCCCACAATGTCACAAGCAGAGGCACAAAGGGACATGATGCATGCTCCCCTTTTCTGTCACCCCCTCACCTGCCCCATGTGGTGGTGGTTTGTGGGCACAGTGCCCACACAGGTAGCTTCCTGGCCAGCCCAAGTCGAGGGTCTGGGAAGGATTACTAAGAAGGAATGCGGAGAATGGCAAAGGTTTGTAATAGCACATGGGTGTTGTTTTGTGATGTGCATGGCAACATTACTGTCATTACTGGAAGTACTGTGTTAAAGATGTCTCAGTGCATTTAGAAGTGTTTACTGTTTTTTAAGTATGGAAAGGTACCCACTAAGGATACCCAAGAAAGGTATCCTGTATACAAAGACAGTACCCTACACACCGAGAAAGGTACACTATACACTGAGAAAGGTACCCAATATACCAACTCAAACATTTGACTTACTAACCTCAGACTGTACCTAACTGTTCTCACTTGCGTACAAACTGTATTTAAAGATGGACTTAGGAATGGAACTCCTTTATGATCCAAGAACTTCCTGTTTGGTTATAAACAATTTAATAAACAAACAAAGCAGAGAGGAGATGAGCTATTCTTGGCAGAATGCCAATATTATAGAAGAAATGATGGCAAGAAAAGGTATTATTTTACAAATACCACAGTAATGATAACCATTTATTATTGTTATTGTTACCTGCCATTGAGTCAGTTCCAACTCATAGTGACCATATGTACAACAGAATGAAACACTGCCCAGTCAGAATATCAATGTTTCATTGCTATTCATAAGGTTTTCAGTGGCCACTGTTTTCAGGAGTGGACTACCATGTCTTTCATCCTTGTCTCTTAGTCTGGAAGCTCTGTTGAAAGCTGTCCACGATGGGTGACCCTGATGGTGTTTCAAATACTGGTGGCGTAGTTTCCAGCATCATTGCAACACACAACCAAGCACAATACAACAAACTGACAGGCGAGTGGTGGAATACTAACCACAGGCAGGAATTACCAATCGATACTAAAATCAGGAGGCCAGAGTATGATGAAAACCCAAACATTCTCACAATCTTGAAGTACCGCCCTATCAGGAACTTACAAATTTTAAGAGTAAAATACTTAACTTTACAATAAGAAAGAATGGAAGGAAAAGTGATAAATTTGAAAACAAACCAAATACAAGGTAACTCTTAAACTGAATACAAGTTCATTTAATTGTACATAAAATAACATCAATAAAACCATAAAAAATCTCAAAACCAGATTTCCTCAAGACTATACCCTAAATCCTTATTTGTAACTGCCAAAGACTGTAAGGAAGGTGAAATATAGCTTGGACAGAGAAAGCAGCACACACTGATGAGGGCAACGCTGCAATTACAATGAAGCCATCATTCCTCCCAAAGACACAAAGCAGCTCCAATGACCCCTTATGTAAGTTACTATTACTTTCCACCTAACTGAGACAATTTGTTCTCTAATCACAGAGTTTTGGAAATTTGTTATTTGAAACTACAGCAATAAGGATGACACATCCCACCTCTGACACAGAGGAGCATCGCTGCCATGAGTTCTGATATGTGAAGTGAGATGTGAGGAGCAACGGAAAGTTTTCCCACATCCCTTACATTCATAAGGCTTCTCTCCACTGTGAATTCTTCTGTGCGTATTGAGGCTTGAGGCTTGCCTAAAGCCTTTCCCACATTCTTTACATTCATACGGCCTCTCTCCACTGTGTGTTCTTATATGTTTGGTGAGGTCTGAGGCACACCTAAAGGCTTTCCCACATTCCTTACATTCATACGGTCTCTCTCCACTGTGAGTTCTTAAGTGTTCAGAGAGGCAATAGGAACGACTAAAAGTTTTCCCACATTCCTTACATTCATAAGGTCTCTCTCCACTGTGAGTTCTTATGTGTGCAGTGAGGTGTGAGGAACGACTGAAGGCTTTCCCACATTCCTTACATTCGTAAGGCCTCTCTCCACTGTGAATTCTTCTGTGTGTAGTGAGATTTGAGGCATGTCGAAAGACTTTTCCACATTCTTTACATTCATGGGGCATCTCTGCACTGTGAGTTCTTCTATGTTTATTGAGGGCTGAGTAATCAGTAAAGGTTTTCCCACATTCCTTACATTCATAAGGTCTCTCTCCGCTGTGAGTTCTTCTATGTATGGTAAGGTGTGAGGAACATCGGAAGGTTTTCCCACATTCCTTACATTCATAAGGCTTCTCTCCACTGTGAATTCTTCTGTGTGTAGTGAGGTCTGAGGCTTGCCTAAACACTTTCCCACATTCTTTACATTCAAAAGGCATCTCTCCACTGTGAATTCTTACATGATTTATTAGGAATGAAGAACAACGGAAGGCTTTCCCACATTCCTTACATTTATAAGGCTTCTCTCCAGTGTGAGTTCTTATATGTGTAGTGAGGGCTGAGCGTTGACTAAAGGCTTTCCCACACTGCTTACATTCATAGGGCTTTTCCCCACTGTGAGTTCGCATATGTATAGTGAGGGAGAAGGAACGATTAAACACTTTCCCACATTCCTTACATTCAAAAAACTTCTCTGCCTTATGACTTTTTTTACGTGTAACGAGGGATGAAGCACGACTGTATGTTTTACGACATTCTTTACATTCATGCTTATGGTCTCGCACGTGCGTCCACAGAGATGATAAACTACAGAAATCTTTCCCACAATCATTACATTCATAGCGTTTCTCACCAGTGAGATTCTTAGAGTTTGAGATACCAATGAAGTCCTTCCCACATCCCTTACATTTATGAGATTTCTTTCCATTAAGAGTTCTTGTAGAAGTAGTTAGGTGAGATGGACAAGTGCAGGCTTCTCCACATTCCTTACACTGACCAGTACTGTATCGAATGCGTGATCGGGTGTGATGCTTATGTGACAAGTGACCCTTGAAGGCTTTTCCACACTCACTGCATTTTAAAGGATTTCCTTCTGGAGAATTTCCTGGTAGCACAGTAAGATTTGGAATCCGGCTGGAGATTCTCCCACACGGGTTTCCTTCACGACTTTCACAGAGGTTCTCTACTGTACAACTTCTGTTAAAAATAGGCAACACACTGTTGGAAATAAATTGGTTTCCATTTCACCATCACCAAACACAGTGCGTGCATGGTTTTTGCCCTCACTGGTCTCATTTCTGATCAAGCAGAAATACTACCATTACTGTCATGGTTGTTCTAAAATAGAAGGATTTCTGGTAACTGTGTCCCAGTGAAATATGGTTCAAACACTAAACAGCTGACTCCTATCAATGAAAATGTTGTCAAAACTCTCTAAAAACATAATTTTACAAAGTTTATGTAAATAAACATACACCTATATGTATATATATCAGAACAAACCAGTTTGTACTAGTACAGCAACTGCCAACATAAGACCCATAGGAAATAAAGTATTGCTGCCTTGAATGTATGTTGCTCTCCAACGTCCCAACAATAATCCAGTCTCCCGCATGGATCCCAAAAGTTTCAGGAGCCTGATGCAAGAGACCCAATTACAGGCAGGACTATGGACAGCAGCACACACTCAGAGCTGTGCGGATGGCCGCCATCTCTGAGCACAGCACTGTTTGTTTCCAGTTTGGGTCACAATCTGATGGGCTACGGATTTAGTTGCTATGTAATGTGTATGCTGCCCTTGTTTATGGTGGCAACTGCTGAACTTCTACAAACAGGTTCCAAGCCCAGCTATATACACATTAACATGTACATATGTGGGTTTTAATGTCAGGACACCTTAGGACGTTCCTCCAAGGCAATGCTTTCATTGTTTGAATGACACTCACCTCAAGTGTCTCCCTCGGTTTTTATGCTGATTTTTACTGTCACTCGATTCTGGGGTTTCTCCTAACATGGAGGACCAGGTGTTATTCTTCATGAATCGCACCATTATGTCTTCACTGGATAAATTTTCTCCACCATTAAGCTTTCGAGAGACTAAGCCAGTAATTCAAGTTCAGGTTCATGATATGTAACAAAAAGTAAAGGAATTTTTAGGAAAAGAAAGGCTGCTATAAACAAAGAAAAAGTTCACTGTTTCAGCATTTTGGCAACAGTTAAAGCAAGTTACTAGAAAAAAGTTGTATGAGGGTTGAGAATGATTGAGACATACTTAGGTGTAGAGAGGAGCAGTAAGGAGCAAGATATTAGATACAATACACATGTAACTTTAAGAGAGCAAAATGATTTCCATGACCACAGGTGTGAGAGGATTGCTCAAGTCAGAAAAGTGAGCTCAGGTATCTGTGAGGGTGAGTTCTCAACCCCAAAGAGACTTCTTCTAGAGGACTGATTGTAGTGTAATACCCTCCATGCAGGGCTGGCTGTTCAGAACACTCTTGATTTCCTGGTTGTTCCTAACACAACGGCCTGGGGGAGTCCTGGCTCCACTGTCCTCTGGTATTTCCCTTACTTCTCTGGGTAAACAAATGGGTAGAGCTAACATGGTTTCACGGAGAAATGCATATCATGAGGGAAGAGTGTGAAGCGCAAGAAACACTTCCCTGATGCTAAGCCAAATCTCTCCCCTTTAGGGTCTCTACAGATGGACAGGTGTGAGTTTATCTGCAACAGAGTAATCACATCTAACTCTACCCCTGTAGGGTCCCAAACCACATATCCCCCCAAAGTGCTCCAAGTTGATCCCTGAAGCCAATGCTTAAACTTAGAACAATTAAAGAGCCTCGGGTATTTGAATCACACGTGAAATGAAAGCTCAGTTCAATAAAGAGCTTTACGTTCATGGGGAAGCCAGGATGTGTGAGCTCTCTGGACCAAGGAGCCATGTCTCTCATATTTAACAATTTATTTCCATTCCATAGCCCAAACACTGTAGGAAAGGTGATGAGTTAACTATGAATTTTTGAATGGAAAATCAATTTGCTGCATAAACTTTCACCCAAATTAAAAAAAAAAAAAGATGCCCCTCTTACCTACTGAGGCCAGGTTTCTCAAGGTTTCCAGCATCACGTCTCTGTAGAGTTTCCTCTGAACAAGATCCAGCAGAGCCCACTCTTCCTGGGTGAAGACCACGGCCACGTCCTCCACTGCCACTGAGTCCTGCAACAGCCCATGTGTTTAGATTAGCAAAGTGTCATGTACCCAGAATGTACAAGAATGAAGTGGTTGATAATCCCGAGGAACTGAGACTTCACAAGTATTTGACACCAGGTTCTGTGTTCTATGAAGGTCTACTCTAGGGTACAGCCATCAGCTTCAATCCCTTCACTAACTATATTCATGTCCTCACCAACTGCCTCCTGTCTCATGGACTTCCAACTCACTGAAATCATCTTGGATTACAGTTTGAGTGTAACCATTGCAGTCTTATTCCTCTCTCCTTATGGCATAGAAAACATGGCAAAAATTAGAGAATTCTCTCAATTCAGATCATCACTTCCTTGTGAACAATTTCACAAGGCCCACCAGAACACTCATAAAACATAAGACATGGGGAAAGCAAAATGGGGTATCAACAACTGGGGAATCCTGAAAAATGGGAGTGTTTCCTTTTGCCTCTCATGGCCACAGGAGGATCCGGGGCCCAAGCAAATGGGCCACCCCAGCCCTGAGCTGCTCATATGTTCCTCAATGCTAGAAGGTCAGGAAGGGACAATCAACCTGCAGAAAAAAAAGAGTGTGTATGTGCATATATATATGTATATATATGTGTATGTATAATATATATATATATGTACATATATATGTGTGTGTGTGTGTGTATAACAATAATTTTTTTAAAACTACCTATTTTCACATGTCAGTCCCTGTTACGGATTGAACTGTGTCCCCACAAAATACCTATCAACTTCACTAAGTCCATTATTTTCAGTATCATGTAATGATCTCCCATTGTGTCAGCTGATGTAATTACCCCACATGTAGTAAATACTCACCTCTATGATGTTAACGGGGAGCTCTGATAGCGTAGTGCCTAAGGCACTTGACTGCTAATCAGAAGGCTGGCGGTTCAAACCCACCAGTGACTCCTCAGAAGGAAGATGGGGCAATCTACTTCTGTAGTGATACTGCCTCAGAAACCTGAGGGGTCGCTATGAGTCGGGTCCGACTCGACGGCACATAACAACTACAACATGATGTTAACGAGCCAGGATTAGAGACAGTGATGTTAATGAGGCAGGACACAATCTACAGGATTACACTGTATGTTGAGTCAATCTCTTTATAGATATTAAAGAGCTTAAACAAGTGAACAAAGATTCAGAGGGACTTCATATCACTGGGAAGACAGATGATAAGGACCTTCCCCTAGAGTGACGGAGAGAAAGCCTGGCCATAGAGCTGGCACCCTGAATTCTGACTTCTAGCCTCCTAAAGTGTGGGAAAATAAATGAGTTTGTTAAAGCCACCCGCTGGTCATATCTCTGTGATAGAAGCACTGATAACTAAGACAGAAATGGTACCCTAAGAGTATGGTGCTGCTCTAACACATACCGAAAATACAGAAGCAGCCTGGCATTGGGTGAGGGTAGAGGCTGAAAGAGCTTTAAGGTGCCCAACGGTAAAAGGCTAGTTTGCCTTGAAGAGACAATTGGTGGAATTGTGGGTACAAGGGCAACTTCTGAGGGCTTGGAAGGAAGTGTAGAAAGCTGTTAACAAGGGAGACAGCGACAACCAGCGGTACAGAAACGGCAGCAGCAGAACCACACAGCTGGCTTTATGACAGCAAAGCAGCTGTGGTCATTACGTGTCAGCTTGACTGGGCCTGGCTGAATGGCGGGGCAGCTGGATGTAATGATTCCCCGTGATGAGACTGGTCAACAACTCCACGGTGGGATCTGCTGTGAGCAGCTGAGTAGCTGCCTTAGGGATGTGGGCTGATCCCAGTCTATAAGGAGAAGCTTTGAAGAAGGTCTGTGGCTTTTTGAGTACACTTGAATGCTGCATGTAGCCAAGTCATTGTTCAGCGGTCCTGCCATGCCCTGCCAATCTTGGGACTTCTTCTGAACTTGAATCACTGGCATATCATGTGGTTTGGTAACATTAGGACTGTGCCTTTTCAGTTGTCAACCTTGGGTTGGTCAGGCTCAGCAGCCAGCAGCTGCCTGAGTGACAAAAATCCTCCAGCTCCAGTGGGCCGGGAACAGGAGGCAGAGCTGAAGCCCAAGGTCAAGGGGCTTTCACCCAGCCCCTAGAGCTGGCATTTTGAACTCGGACTTCTAGCCTCTGAAACGGTGAGAGCATAAACTCGTGCTTGTTCACGCCACCCCATTTGCGGTACCTTCTACGAGAGCAGCACAAAGAAACCAAAACAGCAGCCAAGCCCGGCAGCAAGCAGGCTGAGTGCATCCGAGAAGCAGAGAACTCGTGGTGGGCCGGGGTGCGTGCAGGCACTTGTCAGCAGAGCCAGGCTTGCAGACTCACGCAGGGAGAGAGCTGAGCACCTTCTGGCCAAGTCTTAATGGTGG